TAGAGGATATTGTTTCTCTTGGAGCTAAATAAACTTGTTAACACGACTCTGACAGTTGGCTATCTAACGTAGTCATAGCTGGATAAAGCAGACCAACCGAGGTGTCCCGGTCAGAGCAGTCAAGAGCGCTTGCTTTTTATGAGCAGTAGTTTGTAAGTGAAGGAGTGTAGAGATGAGATGAGCACTTCTCCTTTATTAATTAAAGAGGGATCAGTGTACCCTCTAGGAGTCAACTATTTTTACTTCCTCTGGAAGGAGGAAGCCTTTTTTCTACCTTGCTTATCTGCTTATCCACTTCAGCTAGACAGCCGCTTCCTTTTTCCAGAATTCAGCCCTCTTACACAGCTTTCTCTGACTCTTATCCTTTCATCTTGTGACAGAATTTCTGTTGTGCTTTTTGTTAAATGAGTGTTGTTATTCACATTTTATAATGATGTACTACAATCTTTACAGTATTTTTCTTTGATTGGATTTAGTGTCTTTCTACCTTCTTCAGTCAGTTTTATATTTGGCACTAGTGGAGCTCAAAGATTTCCTTGCATTAGTGCATCTATGTTTTGCAGCTGAATGGAATTGCCTTCTTAAACTTAGCTAGGGCACCCTGAAGACGATAACCTGGGCTTCTTGTATACGGTTGCAGCAATGCCATCTTAATATGTCTTCAGCGTGATCCGTTAGTTCTTTTCATCTTGACGTTGGGTTTGATTTCCTATTACCTAGTTGTTATGTCTTCTCTTTTTGATATAGTGTTATGTTTTGTAGAACACCTTTATTTTATTTATTTATTTATATTTATATTTATTTTTTTGAGACAAGGTTTTTATGTGTAGGCCTGGCTGTCTTAGAATGAGCTCTGTCAACCTGGCTGGCCTCGAACTCAAAAAGATCCACTTGCCTCTGCTGCCTCCTGAGTGCTGGGATTAAGGGTGTGTGCCATTACTATCAAGTTTAGGGTACCTTTTAAAATACCATCCTTATTAAAAATACATGGGAGATAAATTTTTGAGAACTTAAGTGTCTGGAAACAAACAACAGCCCGGCCCCCCCCCCCCCCCCCGCCAATTAAACCTTTAGTTCTACTTTCAGGCTTAATTCAAGTTTTGGGTGCAGATTTCTGCTCTAGAAATTCACTCATTCAAGATTTGATGATGCTGCTCTGTGGCTTTATTTTTAACATTATTAAGTTTGAGGCATTCTTAATTCATTCCTTTGTGTGAATCTAAATTTTGTTTGAAATCTAGAGAATCGTCTTCATAGCTAGAATTGTGGACTTGCACGATGATTTGTATGCTGATATGTCTGTTTTGCTCATCTGTGCTAGGCGTGTGGATGAACCTCTTCAGTTTGGAACATTTAATAGAGTTTTAAAAGTTCCTCCAGTTCTACAAGTATGAACTTCCATGTAATCTTAGATTTATCAATAATTTTCCTTTGCTCTTAGTGCCAGAAGTCAAACTCTGTGCTCTATTCCCAAATACTCAGAGCTCTGGTATTTTCTCTTGCCAAGAAAAGCAGTCTCCTGCTAATTGTGGAACAGGACCATGGGCCATGTCGAAAGTAATAGAGATGTCTGAGGGTTAAGTGGTGCTTAGCAGACTTTGAATAGTCCTGTTTTTATCTCTGTCAGACACATGTGAACCAGTTCAGACTTGTAATACTGGTTTGGGTTCACCTTTCTTAGTGTAGTCCTAGAAATGTACCTGTGCCTTTTGATGAATTCAATGGGATTTGGCAGTTGATATTAATAAGAATGATGAATAGTAATGGTAATGAAAGTATTTCTAAGTATTTGCAATCACAATAATGTCTCAGATTATGTCCAAATTATATTATGCCCCAAATCACCAGTTTAGCTATGGCACTACAGTGGTGCTGTAGTTACCTTACCATGGTGTTTTGCTTATAGGTAGATGATGGTATGAAAATGAATTCATGTTCTTGTTTTCTACTCTTGTAGTAACCTTCAGTTTTATGCATTGACATAGTTTGAAGATCTGGAGTTAACTATGACATTGAATTATAAAGATTAACAATCATGTCATCTTGTACTTGTCCATTTCAAAGAAGTCTCTTTTGTCAGGGATGGTTGAGTGGAAGAGTGCTTGTGTAGTACATACATCCCTTGGGTTAAATCTTCTGCACTGAAAAAAAAGAAAAGTCTTAAAGAGAGCTTTGCATGTACAACTTTGATCAGTATTTTTTATTCATTCAAAAATACTCAGCACAAGTAAGGACAGGGACTGAAATCACATATCTCCACAGACCCAGAAGAGCACCCGGCTGTTTAGCTTGCCTTCATTATGAAAGTCCTGGGGAATTAGGAATAACAGGAACATACCATAAAACAGTAATTACTGTCTCCAGCAAATAGCCAACATTATACTAAATGGGGAAAACTATTTTTTCTGATATCTGTAATGAGAAGAATTTCCACTCTTGCCATTCTTTTGGTAGTGTTGAAGTTTTAACCAGAGCAGCAAGACATAAACTTGTATGTTTATAAAGGATAAAAGGATAAAATAAGGGATGAAAATAGAGGAAGAAGTAAAATTTTCCTAATTCATAGACAGCATGATTCTATGCTTAAAGGACCCTACGTACTCTACTAGAAAACTCCTAGATCTAGTAAACATTTTCAGCAAAGTCACAAGATACAAAATATACATGCAAAAGTTAGTGACTTTCTTATATACTAAAAGCAAACTCTTCCAGAAAGAAATTAGGGAAAATATTCTTTAGAAGTATCCAGGAATAAACCTAATCAAAGGAGTGAAAGACTTCTACATTGAAAACTTGAAGACACTGAAAAAAGAATCCAAAGAAAATACCAGAAAATGGCAAGATCATCCGTACTTCTAGATTAGCAATATTAATGTTATGAAATGGTTGTATTATCAAAATTAATATACAGATTTAATACAATCACCATCAAAATTCCAGTGACATTCTTTACTGAACTAGAAAAGAGTCAAACATAGAAAACCAAGAACAGTTGAAAAATTCCTAAGGAGATAGAACACAGCTGAAGGTATTCTAATACCTGACTTAGAAGCCTACCACCCACCTATAGTGTCAAGACCAAAACATACTTTCAGAAAAATAAGGTATGTAAACCAGTGGGACAGAAGAGAGGACCCTGAGATAAACCCACACAGCTCTGATCATGTAATGCTTGACCAAAGTGCCAGCACATGCAGCAGGTAAAAAAACAAAGTATTCAACAGACGTCTTTCACACTGTAAAAAAAATAACAATTCCAAGTGGCTCAAAGACCTTGATGGTAAGCCTGAAAACAAAAACAAAAACAAAAAAAACAAAGCACGAAATACACTTAAAGGTAGAATGTAGACAGGAATCTTCTGAATAGGAAATAATCCTCAAAATTATCAAATGAGATTTTACAAAATTAAAAGTGTCAGCAGAATGTATAGCCATATTGCAAAAGAGGATAAAGTCCTTGCCAGCTGTACTTCAGAAAAGAACCAATATCTACAATTTATGAAGAACTGAAAAAAATCAAATATTCCCTCTAAAATGAAAGGAAATGAGCTAATGAAACAGACAATTCTCAGAAGAAACAAAAATAGCCAATATTTACAGAACTGTTCAGTGTCCTTAGCCATCAGGAAAATGCAAATTAAAATAACTTTGAGATTTCATCTCATTCCAGTCAGAAGCAATGACAGTAAATCATGGTGAGGGTGTGGGGAGAGAGGGCCTTGCTCACACCTGATGGGTGTGTAAACTAGTGTAGCCTTTTTGGAAGTCAGTGTGGAGGGTCTTCAGAGAATACAGGCCAGTCTACCCTACGACCTGGCCACACCTCTTCTGAGCATATGTGTTCGCAGGACTCTGCATCCTAGCACAGGTACTAGTGCAGCCGTGGTTCCTGCTGCTTATTCAGTATGGCAAGGATGGGAAGCCAGCTTAGGTGCCCATTAGTAGATGACTGGATAATAAAAATACAATACACAGTGGAAATCTGCATAGCTGTAAAGATATGTGAAACTGTTAAATTTGCAGGAATAATACATGGATCTGTAGTTTTTTAAAACAGAATGACCCAGAGATAGACAGAGACTGCATGTTCTGTTTCATAGGAATTTCAGTTTTTAACACACACACACACAGAGGGACAGACAGACAGACAGACAGACTGGGGAGAGGAGTATGGGCAAAACTTGAGAAATTAGGAGATCAAGAGATCAATTTTTCTGAGGAAGGAGCAGACAAGGGTATCCATGTGACATGAAAACAGGAGACTGGGAAGATGGAGGGGTAAGGTATAGGGAGAGGGGATGAAGGAAAGGGAGGTGATGGGGCAGGAGAATCAGCCATAACAAATTTTGCTTGAAAATACCATAATTAAGCAGTACTCGGTGTGCTAATTTAAAGAGCAAGTAATAAAAAGTCAGAGGGATAAGCCTCTATGCTGTCATTAATCAAAGCTAATTGTTTTGCATGTTGGTAATGTATGTCAGTCTCTTTGTATATGTGCATGTTCATTTAAACACATACATATTATACTATAAAAGTGTATATATATTTTCATATTTTTAGAGACAGGGTTTCTCTGTGTAACAGCCCTGGCTGTCCTGGAACTAGCTCTGTAGACCATGCTGGCCTTGAGCTCACAGAGATATGCTTGCTCCTGCCTCCCGAGATTTTAATGGCCATATAATACTGATTTTTATGACTGTACTGTAATTTGTCTATTTAGGTTTTTCTCCATCTCTACATTCTATTAAGACTTAATAGAAGTAAAAGTGTAAGCTAAAACTGTTAAGGAGTCTGTGTACTTTGGTGTACTATGAGGTAGATGAAACAGGACTGTTAGAAGGTAGATGCTTTTATAAAATACTGCTTTAAGTTTATGTTATTTTAAAAGTAACTTACAAAACGTTCTTTAACTTTGGGATAGCTACTTTAGAATGCTGCGCACTAGAAATATGCTGCCTTTGCCATTTTCTGAGCATTGAGTCAAATGTCTTTGTTTACAGCTGGGCTCAAAATGCAGAGAACTCAAAGACATTCACTTTGGCCAGTGTTACAAGATCTCAGATGAAGGCATGATTGTCATAGCTAAAGGCTGCCTGAAGTTACAAAGAATATATATGCAGGAAAACAAATTGGTAAGTACTTGGTTTCACTCACACTGTTCTGTTTGTTGCCCTTTGAATTCCTTGGATTTTGTTTACAAATTGTCTTCTGGTTTTCTAGTGGCAAATCCTGCTTATTGAAAAGCAGAAATCTCTTCCAGACCTTTGTACGGTGCGCTCGTCTAAGCGGATAGATGCTTGTGTGTGGAGTATTATTCATTACCGTGCTCATTGTGTCTTTAAAGAATTCCAACGTGAATTAACTCAGGTCAGCTGGAACAGATAAAACTTGTTAGCAAAACCTGTCCATTGTTGGAGTTTCTGTGGTCCCTCTAGGAATTATAACAATTCTAGATTAAGGAGATTTTAATGCTCAGGAATGTGTACATTTATAAATAAAACTTTTTTTTTTTTTTACTTAGAATGGTGGAAAGATCTAGTAAATTTGGGTAGATAATTCCATAAGTTTTATATTTTAGCACATACACATGTGTCTCACATGTATTAATGCTTTACTCAGTTTTCTTTTATTGACATGTAATCACATAAGATTCTTTGTTTTTATTATATCCATAAATGTTGCACGAACAATAAAAACCCAGAGAAAGATATTGGGGTTCAACCTGAAGATCAGAAAAGCAGAGCAGCCAACCACTACAGACCTTTTACCTCTACCACGTCTTCAGAGAGAATGGGCAAGATCCTGTCTCCGTGAATCCTCAAACTCCTCTTTGCTCTGAGCTCCTGTCTCTTCCCCTTTATAGCCCTCTCTGTGCCCAGCCATATCGTTCCTGACTCCACCTCCCTAGTGCTGGGATTAAAGGCGAGTTATTCTAACTGCTGGGATCACTTTTATGTGAGTGCTGTTTCTCTTTTAGACAGACGCAATTTTGTGTGGCCCAGGGTGGCCTTAAACTCACAGAGATCCATCTGTCGTTATCTCCTGAGTCCTGGGATTAAACATGTGTGCCATCACTCTCTGGCTTGTGTGGCTGACTTTTATGGCTGCTTTCCCCTCTGGTCTTTAGGCAAGCTTTATTTATTAAAACAACAATAATATACCACTATACATAAAGCTATTCAATCATCACCAATATCTAATTATATAACATTTCTTTATTAGATCAAACTCTGATCTTTAGCCATCCATCTCTCCCATTTTCCTTTTCTCTAGCACCTGGTAACTGCGAATTTATTTCCTGTTTTTATGAATTAGACTATTTTATATGACTTATATAAGTGGAATTACATAGTATGTGATCTTTTGTGTCTTTTTCTAGGTTCATCCGTGATGTACCTTTATTTGAATTTCAGTCCTAATTATAGCTGAATGAAACGCAAAGCCATTTAGTTTTAACTGATAGGGACTTCATATCAATTACCAGAAACTATTATCACTTGGGAGGAGCTAGTGGGAGTTTCCAGTGTTGAAAATAATGTATTTATAAAAAAAGACTTGCTTTTAAACTTATGTCTTAAAATGTAGACATTTTTGCTGTCATTTTTGGTTTTTAAAATTTAAAAAAACTTTGAGATTATAATATAATCGTAACATTTTCCTCTTGCCTTTCATCTCCATTCAAACCCTCCTATATACACCTCTTCTTACTCTCCTTCAAATTCATGGCCTCTTTCTCTAATTGTTATTGCATACATACGTATTCCTAAAAATGACTTGTTGAGTTTGTATAGTCATTTGTGTTTGTGTTTCCAGAGCTGACCTCTTGATATTGAATACCCAGTCAGTGTGCTCTCCCCTCTCCCACTCCAGCTTTCCTCAGTTGCTTGTAGTTCTTTTTGTATGGTTGAGGCCTCATGGCTTTCCCCATCCAGTTTGGCAAGACTTTTGATGTCGTCATTGTTCAGCGCATGCTTGGGTGGTCACTTTGGTGAGACTTTGTGTTTGGCTCAGCAAACTCCCTGCTTCTCTGGCTCTTATAGTCTTCCTGCCTCCTGTTTTGCAGTGTTCCCTGAGCATTAGGTGAGGGAATGCTTTGTAGATCTATCTGTTGGGACTGGGGTTCACAATAGCCTTTGGATTCATTGTGGTTTTCTGTAGTGGTCTCTGTTGCAAAGAGAAGTTTCCTTGCGGTGAAGACCGCTTATCTGTGGGTATAAAGACAAATGTTTATGGATTGTTGTTAGGGATTTTGCTAGCTTAGTAAATTAATGGTTGCAGATTCTCCTCTAGTTACCATGATTTCACATGTACTGAGTAATTAGGTAGGTTTCCAGTACCAGACAGAGTTGGTCTTCCTGTTACTGAACAGGCTTTAAATCCAATATGAGATCTGGTGGTTACCACCAAGGTATGCTTACCACTACTGCACCCTTAGGGTTATCATACCATCTAGTCATTGATGTGGTTTATAGGTGTTGTAAGTGGGTAGGACTGTTGGTTGTCTCCTTCCTTTGGAAGCCTTCTTGGTGCTTTCTGGCACTGTGAATGCTAGTCTTCAAAGGCGACCCATTCTTTGTGAATGTAATAAAATGCCTAACATGTACGAACTTGAGTTGTGGAAGGAGTTTTCAGGCATCACCTGTCCATTGAGATGACACTATTTAAAAACTACTTAAAAATTGAAGCACTATGGCTTAAATCAAGTGCTTTTATTACCTCAAAATATGCTTTTACTTTGAAAATATACAATAAAAACACCTCACATTTCCTTTTAAAGTTGATATGAAAGTAATCACTTGAGAGTGTGTGAACTTATAGAGAGTTAGGTTTTCTGGGCTAGATAGACTGACATTTTTGTTTCTCAGTTGTGTTGTGACCCTACAAAAATTACTGATGATTATTAAACCTCATTTGCTAATGATGTTATATTGATATTTGTCTTTCAGGCTATAGTTGAAGATTAAGTGTCATAATAAATACTTACAAATTGCTTAGTGCAAATTCTAACCCATAAAATATACTAGGAGCCTCAGGTAATTCATATTTTGTCATAGCCGAATTTACTAAGCTTTCATTTTTTTTAAATATTTATTTTATTATGTATACAATATTCTTTCTGTGTGTATGCCTGAAGGCCAGAAGAGGGCACCAGACCTCATTACAGATGGTTGTGAGCCACCATGTGGTTGCTGGGAATTGAACTCAGGACCTTTGGAAGAGCAGGCAATGCTCTTAACCGCTGAGCCGTCTCTCCACCCCCCTAAGCTTTCATTTTTATGGTAAACAACATAAATTAAAGGTTACTATTCATATGTTAAACATTTTCTAGTCTTTAGTGGGAATATTTGTTGCCTTGACTGACACTTGTTTTCCTGTTACAAAAGCACAGAGGAGTGCTTCTGTTGTCACCTCAGGATTTAGCTGTTGGCCTTCCAAAGGGGGCGCTATTCATTCTGGGACGTTATGCTTTATTTTCTTACTTTTGTTTTCATGTTTTTTTGCATTGATAATGTGTCATATACCTAAATCCGAAGGATGTAAGATCTGGATTTGTTTTTATTTCATGGGGGATTTAAAGTGCTGTGATAAACCTTAAAGAGAAGCCAACATAATTCTTACTAAGGTTCTTAGAAGAAAGTTAGAACTCATTGAGTGCTGCTGGATGATTGAATCACAGAGAACTAACTTCCGTAGGACTTAAGCATATTTGTGTAATAAACTGAAATGTGTAAGTAGTCAACTGTTTTTGTTTTGACAAGTACTGGCTCATTTGCCAGTTATATTAACTACTAATAGATGTACTTAAGAAAGAACACTGTGCCAGACAGGATGCTATAGAGTTTGACTGGTGCTTTGATCAGCCTTTCAATGAATTCCTACTCTGCTCTCTCAACAAGCTGAATCTTCTCCAAGACTATTGAAGCTCCTGTGCAGTTGGGAATCACTGCAGTTGATAGTACACAGCTTTCATGTTAAGCTTTGGCCTTTAGATGGCAGCATTGTCTTGGTATCTGTTTCACCGACAGAGCTTTTCCATCCTTGATGCATCTACAAAGATGATGCTGTGAGGCTTCATTTAAAATTTTTGTCTTTCAGTTGGTATTAGTGGGGATAGTTCTGTTTGTGTCATGTGATACTAACTGCATGAAGAATGCCACAAGTTGAAATTGTGTTTGTATGTGAAGCAGAAGGAGATGTGAATGTTCTTATATTTGAGAAGGAAACAAGAGGATGCAAAATACAAGAGTAGGAAATCTGCCCACCACGCAGAAATTGTCAATACTATGTTAAAGTTTCTGCTGCTTTTTGAAGAAATAAAGAAAGGCCGCTTAAATATCTGCCATCTTGCATTGTTGTTCTCTCGTTTTCTTTTTCTAAAGGGAGCTATAATAATGACCTTTAAAAAGTATTTTAACGCCCACGTGAATAACATGGTGTTTGTCTTCACATGTAATTTATATCTCTTGTCATGTGGTTAAGTATTTGGTCTCATAATATATGTTCAGCCTTTTCTTGGTATTTAATTTAATTGTTGAGGTCTAGCCACAAAGACTATGTAATTCATTTCTTTAACTGCTCCTTATCTGTTAGATTCTCCTGCTTATCTGTTCTTAATTGAAGTCACTTATATTGCCCCAGGCATTTTTGTCGTTATAGACAATATTACAGCAAAATCTGTATGTGAGTCTGCTGTGCTTATTGAAAGCATTTCTGCATGTATAGTCAAAGACAAGTTCAGTTTCAATTTATTTTTACTAAATGCTAGGTCACTCTCATTAAGTAAAGTGATTTAGATGTGCTTCCTGCTAATGGCTTGTCCTTTCTTTTGAGGGCAGGGAGTGTCTACTCACTTTCTGTCTTTTCCTTTTCAAGTGTAGACATAAAACAGATTCAGTCAATAATGCTTTAGTGATATATGGGTTACTGCTGAATTGAACATACTATTCAAATATATTTCTTTAAATACTTTGGGAATGTGCTTTTAAAAAGAAGAATACATTTGAACAAATAAATAATAGATGATAGTTTAAACATGCAGAATCAACAGTTTTTGGAATTTATTTTTTTAAAGAAACAAGTAAATTTCTTTTAATTTAGTTACCACACCAATGATGTAATTTTTGTGAGCTAT